AATAATCCAGACAAGGTACACTGGGAAGCAGTCAAATGAGTCCTCAGATATCTATGGGGCACCTCAGATAAAACACTTCGTTTCAAAGGTGGAGATACGATACTAATAGGTTATGTAGATGCTGATTTAGCAGAAAATGTTGATATAAAAAAGAGCACTACAGGGTATGTCTATACTCTAGGAGGCACTGTAGTGAGATAAGTTTCTTAACTGCAGAAGATAGTTGCTCTCTCCATAACTGAAGCAGAATATGTCTCTGTTACATAAGCCAGCAAGAAAATTGTTTGTCTTCAAAGTTTCTTGGATGAATTAGGCAAGAAACAAGAAGACAATGTCTTATGTTGCGATAGTCAAAGTATTATTCATTTAGCTAAGAATCCGTCTTTTCATTCTAGAACAAAGCACATATAGGTGCGGTATCATTTTATTCGTTCACTTCTGGAAGATGAAAATTTAAAACTTGAAAAGATCAATGGAGCTCAAAATCCGACAGATATGCTGACAAAGATGGTGACTACTGACAAACTGAAGCTGTGTTCAACTTCAGTTGGCCTGCAATAGTATCAAGACTAGGAAGAACTGCTGCATAGATCGAGATGTGAAAACAAATTAATCAGTCTTCAAGTGGGAGATTGTTAGTCAAAAGGAGTTGGTGGCTGTTTTCTTTTGTTAACAAAAGAAGCCATCGAAAGAAAAAAGGAAGGAAGGTAACTGTCTTTATTGATAAGAAGAAATGTGGCTGCCTTTGTTGATAAGAGGGGAGCAAGAGTCAAAGGAAAGGAAGAAAAAAAGGAGGGGATGGAGGCTTTTAAAACCCCCTGCTCTTCCTTTTAATCTATATCCTCAATCGGCTTCTGAATGTTCTTGAGAAGAGTGAGAGAGAGCACTTCGTGAGAAAGATTAAGAGAGAAAATTGATAGAGAGAATACTTAGTGAGAGAAAATTAAGAGCAAATTTCAGAGTGCTTGTAAAATTACCCTTTTCAGTAAAAATCTGTAGCAGCCCGTGGATGTAGGTAATTTTTGTGCCGAACCACGTTAAATTGTGTGTTCTATTATTGTGCATTTATTTTACTTTCTCTTAAATCTGATAATAGGCGAATTTGTGTAATTCCCAACAGATCCCAAAACGAATTGTGTGAAAAGAAAATCGGAACAAAAAAACTCCATAACAAAGAAGCATTTAAGTATTTTGTGTGAAAAAATTATTGAAGTGCATAATTACCTTTTTAATTTCTAGTTTCCTGCTGTACATTGTGAAAAATGTTAAGCGCACTCAAATTTTTTACAACGTACCATTGAATCCAAATTTTCTAAGTGGTGAATTGTGTACCTGAATTCGTACCATGATCCGCTACATACCATGTACTGAGTAACTATGGATGTGAGTACTCTCTTGTCCTCCATCCTTTAAGCATATCTCTTTTGGGTTAAACTATTTTTTAAGTAACAAACATATACGTCCCCGTATTCTCCAAAATCCACAATTGAGAGAAAGATGAGTTGCTGCTTGGAAAAGATACCAAATGGGAATATTTTTGATTAAGATTTGTGAGGAGCTTTCTCCTGAAATATAGTGTTGTCAGCATGTCATTCATTGGTAGACAACCACCTTTATCCAAAACCTCGAACTTATTCGTAAACAATGTACACTTTTCAATACTTACATGTAGACTATGAGTTGATAGATCTATGAGGTATATGACTAACCATATATCGAATGCTTATGAAGTGAAGTTCATGATCCTGACACATGAGTCAAATTCTTATGCAGCTTGACATTCTGTTTGTGACTGGATTATGGTGGTCATCCCCTCAAATGCCCCTGAACATGAATGCTATAATATTTCTAAGAAGAAATTTTTAAAATGAACCCATTCTCAATTTTATTCCCAAACATCGGCCTACTTTAAAGTTTATTACCAAAATCGACCAACTTTCTCGCCACGTCAGCCTCGTGACCAGAAAGTGGGTCGATTTAAAAAAATTACGATTCTAATTAGTCGGGGTTGCCAACCCTGACTAATTAGGAGCTTGCCCGCTGGGCTGTTGTAATTTGGCAGCTAAACAAGTCGGGATTAGAAACCCCGACTAATTTCCATTCATATAATTTAGGGACTTACGGTAATTTAGGGACTTTCAGGTAACATAAAATTTCAATATTTGCAATATATCATAATCCCTTTACTAGAAAAGACTGACCTTTTAGCTCTTCAGAGTCCAATTCTGTTTTCTCTAAAAGAACTCATCATAGATACACTTCCTTTCTACATAATTGGTATATTTTACATAAGAAGGTTAGATGCACTGTTAAAGTGAGAGAAAGATGCCAATAACATTAGCCTAGTTAATTTAGGGACTTACGGTAAGACTTCAAGGAAAAACTGGTAATAACAACCTCTCGAATATTAAAATAATTTCCATTCATATAATTGTTTGAATGCCTTTAGTATATACCACTCGAATAAAATCAATATTTTGGCGTCATTTCATGTTAAGTTCTATTACTAGAAGGCACACATTTCTTTTCTTTCCTATTCAGTGACATGCATTGTTAACTTTGCTCGTCATCCACCCATAAATTCAATAAGTTTAACCGAATGTTTTGATTAGTTACTGAAGATGGAGATGTTTTAACCATTTTTAGCAACACTTCATCTCATCTTAGTAGTAGCATTAGCACCTTAAAGTTGAACAATCATGTTGAAGCCACTGATTCTATTCTAAAAAGCAATTTGGTATAAATAAATGCTTATAATAAATTTGTGATTAAATGAGCATGACATGTAACCAATGTTAGAAAATGCGCTAGGCGGTGTAAGCATTGGACCCAGCGCCTAGACGTCTAGGAGTATGCCTAAGCAACGTCTAAGTGTTTAGATATTTTTTAAATTATTTAATTATAATAATTGATAAATATATATGTTAATTCATATAAAAATTTGCCAAAAAATAGCAATCTTAGATCCGTAATAAGCCATGCATACTTAAATACTAAATAACAAAAATATTAACTAATAAGGTTATAGAAAATGCTAGGCGGCCTAGGTTTTGGACCTGATGCCTAGAGCCTAGGAGTTTTTTTATTATTATTTAATTATAATAATTGATAGTAAATATAAATGTTATAGAAAGCTTAGTTACCAGATTAGTGTCTAGGCGAAATTTTTTCTTTATTTAAGTGCTAGTCGAGGAGGTTTTGCTGAAGGTTCGAGGAGATAATGGAGGTGTTGATATTTAGAGATTAAAGGAGTTTGAAGGAGGTTGGAGGCCGTGGAGGCCGCAACATAGAAAATCACGATCAAGACCTAAATGGTGCAATCTACGTAAGCAGACAATGCTCCCCTAAACACTCCTAAATCCTAGGTGGGCAGCCTAGGTACCGTCTAGACGCTAGGTGCTAGTTAGACGGTGTAGGTACCGCCTAAGCTTAGGCACCACCTAGGCCTAGGCGGAGGTTTTTCAAAACAATGCATCTAACCTTCTTATGTAAAATATACCAATTATGTAGAAAGGAAGTGTGTCTATGATGAATTCTTTTAGAGAAAACAGAATTGGACTCTCAAGAGCTAAAAGGTCAATCTTTTCTAGAAAAGGGATTATGATATATTGCAAACATTGAAAATTTATGTTACCTGAAGGACATATGATGATAATGTTTTGGATTTGTTCCAGCTTCGGAAACTTATAAAATATTTTTACAGAGAATTATCACGTTTTTATGTTGTATTTAGTCTTATGGATAATCTTGGTGTTCTTCATTATTGTATTACTAATTGAACTTCAATTTCTTTTTCTTACATTATTGATATCTTTCAGATGTTATAGTTGATCATCATATTTGGCAATGATTTCATTTGGCTTCTTGCTTTTCTGATGAATGTTGCCACTGGTAGCACACAGTTGCGCCTCTCTGTCTAACTCTTTCATATTGTAGGAAAAAATTGGTTGTTTGTTTCTTGGTTGCGATGTGTAGTCTATGTAGCAACAACTTAAATCTATGTTCCTATGAAGCCATCAAAAAAGTTTTATACCTTCCCCTCTAATGGTTTATAACCATCTTATAGAGAAATTTGACATAAAGATATCGGGTGGGCAGGCCCATTGAAAATATTGATGATTTGATAGTCCAAGAAAAATCGCATTAGGTGGCTGCTTAATTGAAGGGCATTGAGTTTTTGATTGCTTAATGGACTCCTGAGACCACTTTTTTTTCTCCCCGAACACTGAGATCTTGGACCTATTGATGCGTCCAGTGGACAACAACCTGTCATATGGAACAACAGATTGAGGCGTGATTAATTGTCACCTCCATGAAAGTTTACATAATCTCCAGTTTGCCAATTAGATTGTCTCAGATTAAGTGCCAAACCCAACAACAGCTACATATGCATTGCGCACATTTCATATTCTTTCTTGCAACAATTTGAAAATGATTGGCTTTTTTTCTTGGAGTTCTTTTACAACTCGTAACATTAAAGCTAGGGAGCCTGTTTTCATTACAGAATACAGAATGACGTGTGATGCTGCCAAAACAGCTCTCTGATGATCTTGCAGCCTGTGTCTGGATGTCTTCTAATTATGATATTTTTTTAGGGAACATGACTATGAGCTTCGTAAACTTAATTTTCATCCAACCATCCTTGTTTTACCGGTTGCTCTTGATCTTTTCTTCTTCCAATTAGCATTGAACTATATTTAAAGACGTTCTACTGAGTAATTTTTTGAGTCTCAACAAGATTTCTTAGGTCCTGTAGTATCCGTGTATGTGTAAGCAGTGCTTGCATTTTACAAATTTTAACCTTAATTTGCATTCTTCTTCAAACTACATATTAAAAAATGATGCTTAAAGATGTGGCACTGGGTGATTCTTAGTCCAAAATTGCTTCTAGCTACTTCAACTAGGAGTAGCATATATGAATATTTAATGGCCACATATTAAAAATATCATCCTGATTTTGATGTCTTCTTCAAGTTTCTAAGCTGGCCTTGTCTTTGTAGGAGGGATGCACAAAAAAATGTTACTGAAGGAACAAGAACTTCAAGAGTTAATGGTATGTACATGGCATCTCTTCCTATTAATTCTCTAGATCTTATACTATGGATGTTTTCAATATGTTTGTCTTATTGGTTCTTATTTTTCTAGTCAGTATGGTTTTTTTTGCATGTTTTAAAATTTTTTTGTTTGAATTTCCTAATCATGCGTCATTCTGGTACTCTCCTCCTGAAATTTGTTGAGATACTTGAAGGTATCATAATTGTACTTGTATAATATGTCTATAGACTATATATTGTTGACCCTTGTCTTTATTAATAAAAACAGGGTGCTTCTCTTTTATGTTTTCCTCTTACTGAGTCTTACCTTCATGTAAGCACCTATGGATATTTCCTCATTGACTCTTTATTTTTCTCTTATAAATTTATTTCAATTTCAGTTAAGCTGGCGTTAGAAACTATCAAAATTACGGCTATATTTCGCTGCTGCTTAGGATGTCTACTTCATGACTTTTCAGATCTAGGCAAGCAGATGTAATGTCTTGGTCTTTCTCTTTGTCAAAAGTTTTTATCCTCCCAGCCTTCTTGTCCAACTCTGAAGCACGGATTCATCCCCAGAGGCTACAGCGATCTCGGACACGGCTCGGATTCGCCGAAGGTCCAAATCTCATAGTGGCTGCTACTCCCAAAAAAATCCTAAACTGAAAAATCCCAAAAAAAATTCAAGCTTTTCGATTGACTGGTCCAGATCTCAAATTACCTGCTTGTTGATCTCGACTCTGATGGCGCGCTTGGTCACATTCCAGACTTTCCCAGTTCGCTCATGGTAGAACTTGTGAGGCATCCACTTGTAGACGGCGTTGTTAACTTTAACGTCGACATAGTCGCCGATCTTGTACGCGCAAAGGTACGTCATCAACGGGATGTAGCCCTTCTTTTTGAAGGCGCGTGCGGAGAGATCGCGAGTTCGAGATTAGAGACCGTGGCCCACCGGCATTTTGATCGATTAGGGTTGGGTTTGGGAGAGATTGGAGGCGGGCGATCTAGGGTTAGGGTTTGGAGAGGGAGTTGAGGCTTATTTATATGAAAGGATTTGGTGGCGGAGTGAGGAAATGACGGGTTTGTCCATCTGTCGAGTGGCTGAGGCGTCTATTGTTCGGCTCTGAGTTCTTCATTCAAAACAAACTAAAGGCCCAGTAAGTCCTTTAAATCAAAGCCCATGTAAAAAAAGTCCAAGAGCGGAAGCAAGGTTGATCCATCTTAATTGAGTTCTCTTAGTTACTTAATTTACTTAAGAAAAATGCTTAACATCTATATTCTCCACATGAAAATGCAGTGAAGATTTCAATCATATAAACTACATAATATATAAATATCTTTCTGTTTAACTATAATAGTCTTTTTCTTATTTGGGAATGTAAGAGCACATTGCTTAATCATTCTTGACTTATCCCCGTATCCTAATTTAATAAATTTTTCTATATATAATAATAATTAAAAAAATCCTTGCCGTATCCCCGTATCCTATTTATTTTGGATTTTTCCGTATCCTGTATCCGTGTCCGTGTCGTATCCATGTCCCATATCCGTATCCGTGCATCATAGTTGTCCAATGGCCTTTTTAATCTATTTGTTTTGCATTATTCTTTTGGCTTCAACCTGAAATTCGTCCATGTCTTTCCACTCTTTTTCCAACGAACAATTGCATTTTCCGTCGAAACTCCTGTGCATTATTATCCCATTCTTGTGATGTGTCTGAAGAACTCACCTCAAAGTGCTGTCTTACTGACCACTTGAGGTGTCCCGGTTAGATTTTGGTCTCGTTTGATCTACAACTTTTACCCTTGGAACTCTTTGTACCTTTTTCTCTTTTTTTTTTGGTCCTTTTCAATTGAGTTATCATCATTTGGAAATTACTATTCACAAGTATTTGTTTTTTTGGATCCATTTATGATCATTAATTTCTAGCTATTAGCATCTAGCGTAGGTACATAGTCACCATCTTTTAGGAGGCCAGATTGGATCAAGGCATCAGAAGGTTTTCATGTTTGTGGCAATTTTTTATTTGTTTTGACCTATCTTTAGTTATACAAAAGTACAAGATCTTTTGCAGATGTTATTCTTTATGTCCTTTACATATAATCTATTCGATACTATATCCCGTTTTACGTTATTTGATTTTTGTTTCTTTTGTGTACTTAATGGCAGGAAGAGGCAATATGTCCAGAAAAGCAATCATGGAACCTGGTGGTTTGGTTGGTTCGGACCTTCTAAACGATGAAGTGGTCTCGGAACAACTTACAAGGTTTGATTGTCTATCTGAAATTTATCACTACATGTTCTAAGCTTTTTGCATGTGGTATCATGAATTTTAGAATCATAATGAATCCTTGACAAACTATGCTGCTTTTGATTTGCTTACAGTAATATTAAGTAGAAATCCGGTGGCATGTATAATTAATCTTGTTTCTACATTGAAGTTGTATGTTCAACCTACTCAACAAATCAGTTTTGACTGCTTTAAGATCGGACCTTTTGCTTACTCTATAACTTGCAGCTTGACTTTCTCCAAGTACATCTATCACATATTACAGTGCATATTTGTGGAAATTTATGTGCAATATTCAGTGATAGACACATTAACTTACAGCAGCCAGTCTTTTGCAGCTGAGTATATTTTTTATTTCTTCCTTGGGTAAATAATTTTCTCATCTCAGTCTTGTTTGTCACTTCATTACATCAGCTTATATTTCCACCCCTCGCGCTCTCTATAGTTGTGAAAGGGATTTCATATCATTCTTTAAGGATGAGTTATCTCCTTTATTCTTTTTCGATTTCTTTTACGTATGAGACGTGGGGGCATTATTCATTTTTGTCCTACAGCTTTCAGGGGAGACACTAAATTCATAGACAGTTATAAACATTGAAAGATATGTTTGTAATGCTTGATTTTTCATTTCCTATGTAACAGTTCTTTTAGAAGTTAAGATGTTGCAGGCTTGTTACCTAATTTTAGTTCCATCAATCATTCTATGCCTTGATATTTTTTTAGATTTTTAGTAGTTTAATCTTCTTATGTTCGGCTAATGGGAAGTACTGGTTCCATTTTGATTAGTTGACTGTAATTCAGTTACAATAAAGCTTCCGAGTAGTTTATTTATGTATATAAACATCTTAGTTTTGTTTGGCCTCTGTAAGATTTTGAGTTAAGTGGATTCTATTCTCTCTTTCTAAGTGATCTGCAATTTCTTCTAGGTATTGTTTTTTGTATTGTTTTTTTTCTTTCTATTTCTCAGATACGGCCATATGAATTTGTTCTCGTTTTCTGATTTTCACTATAAGGGGGTGGTTGGTGATTTGAATATGGTAGGGAAGTGTGAAAGATTTAGGGCAGACGCATTATGTTTTCCCATGCGGATGCAGGTCAAGAAAGTTATTTCCCGTATTCAACTATATAGGGCTTAACAGAAAGTTGTTCTCATACAGATCCTACTCATTTATTAATTTCACACTTTATCTCCCACCTTTCCTCTAGACCTGAAGTGGCAGTCCATATTTTTTGTATTTTGTCATGCATGGTGTCTAAGTAGCATCGTTTTCACACTTCCACTTCAGAGTTGCAAAAAACCTTTTCTCGCTTATCTTCCCATGATATTTGTTGAATGATTCCATTTTCAAACTTTCACCTTTACTTTCAGATTTGCAAACACCTATTCTTTGCTTATTTTAGTTGTGACACCTAACCTTCATGTTGCACTATTGTCAAGATATATTGTAATTTGAGTGCCCTTACGAAATTTTCAGTTCCTAAAATGTGTCTTATGTCATGGCACTCAGAAAATTGAGTATGAATTATTATGTTTTCTTATGGTTTCATTTTATCTGAGTCTGTACATATTTTTCCCTGGTATACTGTAACATGCTTAGTTGCCTCAAATCTTGCTTTCACCAATTGTAAAATTTTATGTATAAATTCTTTGTTGTATTTTTGACTTTCTTATTTTAGAAATATTCAATTCTTTGGATTGGAAGCACAACGAAAAGTGACTGAATCATTCGTTGTAGTCATTGGTCTTGGAGGAGTGGGTAGTCATGCTGCTCATATGCTGTTGAGATCTGGAGTTGGCAGGCTCCTGCTAGTGGATTTTGATCAGGTTCTTTCTATTAAATTTTATATAAGACAGTTTTACATATGGTTTATGTTTGTAGTTTCTTCTTACCCAATCATTAGTCCGTGCGTTTTTTGGAAAATTTATCTTCTTTGCCTGACCTTATATAGGGTTTTTATGATATAAGAACCCCAATCTTCTTTATTTCTATATTAAACCCCAAATCTTGGTAATTTTAAATTACACCTCCAAATCCTTTACGTTGGTTCCAAAAGCCCCATGGAAGATTTCCATCCAAATTTCTTACCCAAGCATGGTTAACTCTTCCATTTGGAGTTAATTGCAGCAATAATCCTAGCCATGCTTGGGTAAAGAATTTGGATGGAAACTGTCCATGTGAGCTTTTTTTAAAACAGCTTAAAGGATTTGAGGTCTAATTTGAAGATATTAAGATTTGAGGATCTAACATAGAAATGAAGAAGATTTAGAGGTCTTATATCATAGAAACCCTTTTATAAATCTAATACTTCTTGTTTTAAAGATGGATTCTAATACTATTTTGAAGGTAAAAATCCAAAACAGAAGGAAAAACAAACTGTGACGAAAACTGAGATCATATTATAGAGAAATAGTGAAGGCAAAGTTCTTATCATTCATCGAACTCTCTTAAATAGACTAGTGTAGAACACGTGCTTTGCGTGTGGACATACTTATTTTATATTTTGAGTTTTTTTTCAACTAGAAAATAGCGCAGTGACTTTTTAACCATATAATTTCTTAAATCAAATCTATTTAAAATTTTATGTTAATAAATGAATTATTATTAGAAAGAGTGCAACAACAATAACAACCACCACCACCACCAAGCCTTTATCCCAAATGTTTAGGGTCGGTTACGTGAATCCTATTTTTTCATTCCATTCTGTTATGGGTCATCTGTTCTGTTAAGTTAATCCTAATCATATACTTCTTAGTTGCTTCTAACTAAGTCATTCTAGGTCTACCTCAAGATCTTTTAGGCTTTTAGCCCCATTAACTCTAATATTATTGTTTTTCCTAATCGGTGCACTAAAAAGTTTTCGTTGTACATGACCAAACCATTTTAATCTATCAGAAAAGATTAGTACAGTAAAATTTTGTATAAAAATTGTATGAGTTATTATTATAATTTTGAATTATTAATATAATTTAAACATTATTTATTTAAATATTATAATATATTTAATAATTATAATAATATAATTCTAATTTAAGATAGCGACAATACATTATTACATATTTTATAACTTTTCTTATTTATAATTATACAAAGTATATTTCACTATCAATAACTTTAAAGGGAATCTTCAAAATTGAGAGGGCGAAAGAGGCAACTAGAATAAATACTTATTGAGTTGTTATTATTTTGATTTTTATATATTTATTAATTTATATGTATAACTTTTCCTGCAGAACATGTCCATAAACAAAGTTACATAAAGGTCAGATATTTCCCGATATATGTTTAATAAACGAATTATTTATCGTCAATAATAATTCAACAATGATTCAATACCATTAAATTTTAAATCTAAATACTTATTGAATATTTTTTTGATAGGATTATTCAAGATTTATTGATTGCTATGATTAATCTCTCAAACTGTCAGCTCCTGAACCAACCCCTTTTTTTGATAGGATCATTCAAAATTAATTTTCTAGTCCAATAACAATAACAACAGCAGCAGCAACAACAGCAACAACAATAACATTAACAATAACAATAATAATGAAATTCCATACTCAGTGCTTGAGATGCTTATGACTTCCGTTTACTTTCAGTTATTGGTACCCAGGTTACTACTTAAAAAAAAATGGAATTGTTTTAGATATAAAAATACCTATTCTTAATGCTATATTTTTTGAATTCTTATTAGAGGTCCTTGAACGTGGTTAGGTATCACTTGTTCTCAGAATCAAGTGCTTAAAAATATCACTTGTATAAAGAGTATTACTACCTCATGATGCCTGCTGAAAACTGGATGTTTATAAATTCCTTTTTCTAGATTGCCTAGGCATTACACTGAGTACAGTTCTAAAACTAGCCTCTGTTTCGCAACTTTGCCACTCATGATGCCCCGCCCTGCTCGGGGTTCGAATAGGATACATGCTCATTACACTTGCATTTTTTTAATCAAGTTTAGGTCATATGACATTACACTGAGTATGTACCTTGTTTTTTTTTTTTCACTTTTTTGCCACAAGTCATAATCCTTATTAGGTAACTCAAATAGTTATATTGAAACTTGAAGAGGGAAGCCTCATGCTTGCATTAGACCATAACAGAAGATTGCATCCTTTTTTTTAATACTCAAGCCACCGGGAATCAAACCCTAAACCGCGGGAGTCATATTGGAACCTCCCAATCATTCGTGTCACGCCCCGAAACTGTAGCGGAAATTCTAAAATGCGTGGTGCGCGACAGCAGCGACCCGTGCACAAGACAATTCTTATGCACGGGTCAAGCCTGGCACTTCATATCACATAGTTTATCATAAAATATTCATAAACCTGCTGATAATAAAAGCCAGAGCAACTATATATGTATATAATCAGTACTTACAGCCCCAAAACTCACCGTTATAAACATTTTTAGAAAAAAATAAAACAAATGGTGCTGAAGATAACATAAAAAAGAAGAGACTCTCCATATAACGCTTCTCAGCCAAAAGCCCAACTCAAAAGTTCGGCTAGTATGAAGCTACGCTGGATCTGAATTTTTTTTAAAAAACAACGGGGTGAGCTAGCGCTCAGTGAGAACATTTCCCACTAGAGTTCCTAGATAACTAACAACATAGTAATAAGAATAATTCTCAGAAATAACAAATTACAAGTTTTGCATGAGAAATTCAAAGAGCAAAAATACGATCCAAATATCATAATAATGTCGTCTTTAAGAAATAATATAACAATTATATTTTCTTTCTTATGTATAGCTTAATATACTGTGAAGTTTCTTGAAATCAAACCCTTTTTGAATCAAGGTAAACATTAAGACGAAAAAGAACTACTAATTTGTACAAAACCAGAGAATTATTATTTTCTCAATTTCACAGTCAATTATCAGAATCTTAATACTCGATGAGTTATTCATGAATGTAAAAGTCACCCCATAGGTCACACCAAGGCTACGAATTATAGCCCAGTAGCAAAGGAATGCGTAAAACGCATCACATGACAGATAATTTTTGGGAATCGAATGCACCTAATACTGGCATAAGTTACTGGCCAAATACAGAGGGATCAGAATAAATTTCAGAAGAGCCAACACAGAAGGGCCAACACAGAGGGGCCAAATAAAGGTGCATTCACCATATGGCAGGCATAAACAATCCATAGTGGACTATTTGAGGGTTTGAAAACATCGAGATCACATGTCAAATGAGTAATACTTTGTATCTTAGAATTTACAGATATTTTCAAATAAAGTTGACAAGGTAAAACTTCTTATCCCAGTTAAGATAGTTTACGAATTTTTTTTAATCAGATACCAAGTCACAGAAAATCTTTGAATCCGTTAAACCGTTGAAATATGTTGAAAATACTTCATCAAAAACTTTTAGATAAAGCAATGCCTACAATTAGTTAAAACTGCATGAGAGCCAATTCACTTTTCATAGTTCATATAAAATCAAATAAAATTTTCATATCTTGTATGAAACAATATCATATTTATGGTTTACACGACAACAAAGGTAGATCAAATCTTTATATACATGAAAATGATATATTATTTTCTGATTACAAGATAAATCAAATATAATATTTATGCGATTTCATATTATAAAATACTAGTGAGAAATGAACTTACCTTAAGCGGACACGACTTTCCCAAAATATTATCCTTCTGAATATCAACCAGATCCTATAATATAAGATATAGTACTAATTATTAATTCAGGACAAACATATATTATAAGGTAAATCAATTCGTAATCTAGAGTCTAATAAATTCAAGATAATCAATCATAATTAAATTCTACAGTACATATGAGCTTATTGCTAACCTTAGCAATTTATCAAAATTTTATAACTCTCATATACTAGCTTTTGGGCTTTTTAGTAATTTAGGATAATGCAGGAGGTTATAGAAAATTTTATCAAGTCTAAAAATTATTGTTTATTCCTCAGATTGGACTTATTTGCAAATTAAGTAAATGATAGGGGTCTATCTTATATTTTCAAGCCTCTTTCAACCATAACTTATATTACTAAGGTCTGTTTCTAAATTTTTACTTGGTTCAGGGGCTTAAGGGAGTTTTTCCTAGCATTGACTTGTATTAAATGAGCTAGGTGGGCTTATGTGAAATTAGTTTGTAATGTAATGTTGAATAAAAAATTTTCCCTCCCCTTATCTAATCTTCAGCTCTGATTCTTCATCTTCCTCTTTTTTTTCCTTCTGTTTTCTTCTACTCTCCTCTCTCTCTCTCTCTCTCCTCCCCGGTGACTTGGCGCGACTGCTCAAGTTCTGTCGCCGGAGCGGCCACCCGAGACAAACCCCCTCCTCCGACGAGTGGGGTTGCCGACGATCCTCGTCGGTGGTCAGGTAAGTTCTATCTCATTTTTTTAGAAATCAATAAATGAAATCAAGAAATCAACAAAAGAAAGAGTTTATACCTTTGGGTTTACTTGAATTTTGGATGAAATCCTCTCTTTTCCTTTCCCTTTTCACTGTCTCCTTCCTCTTCTTCTTCTTCTTTTATTTCTTTTCACAATCTTAATCTAGTTCTCAGATGGTTTGGTTGAAGATGAGAGGATATTTTTCATTATTATTATTATTTTTTCCTTGTTTTTTTCTATGGGTTTTCTTTGGTTTCCCTGTTTTAATCCTCCGTTAAGGAGGTGCCGACCAATTCGTCGAATTGATTTTAGGGGTGAAATCCCAAAAACACCCTTAATTAGTTCCCTAATCTGTAATTAAAAAAATCTCTATTAATCAAGTTTTAAGGCACTAATTATTTAGGCTACTACACTCTTCCCTCCTAATAAAAAAGTTTCGTCCTCGA